AAAATTATTATTTTTAACATATCAGGAGAGACTTTTTGTTCTAACACTTAAACTTTCAAAGAATGGTGTCCCGTACACAGAAAGGAAGAAACTTCCAGGAAGGATCAATACAAATAAATACCAACAGGGGCACAGTACATGTTCCAAAGGAGCTAAAGAGACCCGACATGGACAGCAGCCCACCTAAGAAACTTTCAAATCCCAGGCTGAACAATGTAGAATTTGGTTTTTAGACCAAAGAGTTGGGGGCAGGGAATGACAAGAGATGAAGTGTTTTGCAGTAAAATCCATATGGCAACAGGCAAGAATTTAAGATACAAGTCATAAAGTTTAATCCAAATGAGATGAAAAAGGATCTGAACTAGAGTAATAACAACAGCAAGGACAAAGTTATTTAGAGATATTGCATAGGTAGAAGGAAGAGAATATGTTAAAAGCCAACTTGACATCCATACCTCTAAGTGTTAAGAGTTACACTATGTTAAAGAATATGCATAGGGCCTTCCTGGTGGTGCAGGGATCAAATACAGCACTATCGGGCTACCGACAGCCACTGCAGCACAAGTTCGATCCCCAGCTGGCTAGGGAGAAACCCACATGGCTCAGCAGACCTTTCCTGCCTCTCCCGCTGCTCCCCTCAGCAGTGTATTTCAGTAGATCCGCCTGTTCTGCTCCCCACTGTCTCTGGTGAATCCTCACACCGCCCCCCACCCCCACACACACACCTCTGGCCTGCACCTCTAGCTATTGAAAGCATTTGGCTTATTCTTGGCCAGTTGACGTGCCAGTTACTGATCTCAGAGATTAGTCAATGACACTAAAAGAGATTGATGGATAGAATCTCTCGTCTGCCTGACTCCTAGGGTTACGTAACTTGAGGTGCACCTTTTATATTGGCTCTGTTTCCCAGAGGTAATGAGCATCAATTTAAAACAGTTAACCACATTAGTCACTTGCTTTATGACTGAGTCTTTATTGGTTTCCTTTCTTGCCCTAACTCACTCAGTCCCCTGCTGTTGTTTCCTGGGATGATCTTGCATTAACTACTTGCAATGGAATCCTTGTCTCACACTGTGTTTCCAGTTGAAACCAAGGGCAGTATCTCTTGACAAATATATCTTGCTTTCTTTGTTGGCCTGAGAGAAATCTCTGAAGACCAGAAGCCTAAATCATACAGGAATTCAAGACCAAGTTATTCTCATTTCTCCCTCGTAATGCTCCAACTAAAACCAAAATCACAAAATGTCCATTAATAAATCACAGAGAGTAAGTGTTTCCCCTGGATGACTCATCCTTCAGTCTCACTGGCAGAGTTCCCAGACCTCTTGGGGAAGGTTGGTGAGCTCTGACTCAGGCCATCCTCTCAGGTTCAGCAGGTATTTCTGCCCTAACATGTTTCAACTAAGTAACTAGAGATTTTCACCATCTTAGGGTCATAGGATTATAAGAGTACCAATTCCCAAGACCCAATGGTTCACATGTCGTGGTACCTTCACATTTGTAGCAAATGTAGTATCGCTAAGTCTATTTTTTATTATGAACACAAGCAAACAAAAAACACAATTATATGTATATTTTTTAAATGTTTATTTTAATTCTAAGTCACAGTTGTAACTAAGATGTGGAAGATTTGTGTTCAAACTCCGAATGCAACTTTAAAAGTATATAATTTCACACAGGCCATTTGGAACAAATGAAATATTTCTTTTAGCCAGCCAAACATGTAGTAAGTATTCATGATAATTTATTTTAAAAGATCCAGTAATACTTCATTGACTTATTCAATTAATATTGAATGAATCACAATGCAATATTTTTCCTACCTTCCTACCCAACACATTGCAGTCTATTGGGGATAAGATACATTGTTTTCCTTTTTCGTTTTATAAATTGAGTTAAAACTAATGTATATAATTTTACATTCACTGCAATATTATTTACAAAAGTCAAGTTATGGGGGCCTCCCCGGTGGTGCAGTGGTTGAGCAGTGGCTTGCAAAGCTGCCAGCAGCCTCTGAAGCTCCGGTTCGATCCCCGGCCACGAGGCGAGGGTCCCACATGGCGCACAGACCTCTCCTGCCGCCCGCTGCTCCCCTCAGCAGTGTACCTCATCACTCTGCCTGTTCTGCTCTCCGCTCTGGTGAATTCTCTCACCCTCCCGCTCCTCTGACTGTACCCAGTGCTTGTATAAAAATAAAATAGATAAATCTTTAAAAAAAAAGTCAAGTTATGGAATCAACCTAAGTGCCAAAGGACAGAGGAGTTGATTAGGACAATGGTGTGTGTGTGTGTGTGTGTGTGTGTGCAATGGAATAGTACTCAACAATTTAAAAAAATGAACTCTTCCCATTTGTGATGATTTGGATGGAACTGGAAGGAGATTATGCTAAATGAAATAAGCCAGAAAGAGAAAGACAAATTCCAGATTATTTCACTCCTATAGAGCCTATAGAGAAACAAAACCAGGGGTCAGACAAAACCAAACCAAAACAAACTTTACAAATTTTACTGTAAAGTTGAGGCTATCTGTGGGGGAAGGACAAGTTAGAGAGCAAAGGAATTAGGGGCATAGTTGACCATGTAACTATGGTTACATTTGTGGTTCAGCGTGGGGTGGTAAAATATATCTGCAAAGATGTGATCCTTTAGCTCTGAGTCATATACAGTTGTTGCACACAAATGTTACCTCAATTAAAAAAAAAATAATAATAAATCCATTTATTGAGCTTTGCTTTCTGTCCCAACATGTGATCTATTCTTAAGAATGTTCAATGTGTGGGCCTCCCTGGTGGCGCAAGGGATTAACTCTCAGCACTATGAAGCTATCAGCAGCTACTGCAGCACGAGTTCGATCCCTGGCCAGGAAGCTGACCCCACACAGTGCAGCAGACCTCTCCTGTCACACCTGCTGCTCCCCTCAGCAGTGTATTCCAGTAGATCTGCCTGTTCTGCTCTCCACTCTGTCTCTGGTGAATCCTCTCACCCCCAGCACCTCTGGCCTGTACCCCAATTCTTATATGCAGAAATAAATTTTTTAAAAAAATTCAATGTGCACTAAAGAAGAATGTGTATTTTACTGCTCTGGATGGAGATAGAATGTTCTGTATATCTAAATTATGTCCATCTAGTCTAAATGTGTCACTTCAGATGGATGTTTTCTTACTGATTTCTGTCTGGAGGATTTATCCATCGATGTAAGGGGCATTATCCATTATCCACTGATGCAGGATACAAAGCACACATGAGAGCTGCAGGGGTGGTTCTGGCAAATGTTGGGCTAGTAGCAGTATCCACTTGCTGGCCATCTGTTTTAGTAGGCCCTGGCATGTTTGCGAGCCGGCCTGCAAGCAGGCATTACATAGATAGCAGGAGCCTAGCCTATTTGTGGGCAGGGGACTTCTTGCTCATTGTCTCTTGACCCCTGGCTAGCCAGGCTACTTTCACAATCTGGATGAAATGCTCTTCAGAGATTTGACCTTGGATGGAAGATTGGTTCCTAAATGGTGCCCACCCATGCTGTTAATGGCAAGTTTTCTGAAGGTTGCCTAGATAATGCCTTCCAGTAACCCCCAATACCACATGATTTCCTAGTGTTCTTTGCCTCCCGGCCCAGTGCTGTAAGGATATTACACGTGGTTCCTTCATATGGGCTGTGCCTTGCTCAAACAGGGGTTATTGGGCCTCCCCTGGTGGCGCAGCGGTTCAGCACTGGGCTGCGAAGCTGCCCGCAGCCTCTGCAGCGCCGGTGCAATCCCCGGCGGCCAGATAGTGTCCCACATGGCGCGACAGACCTCTCCTGCTGCGTCCGCTGCTCCCCTCAGCAGAGTATTTTGTCAGTCTGCCTGTTCTGTTCCTCACTCTGGCTCTGGTGAATTCTCTCACCCTTCCGCGTTTCTGACTGTACCCAGTGCGTGTATAAATAAATAAATATTTCTTTAAAATAAAAAAATAGGGGTTATTGTTTTGAGTCCCAGAGCAAGTGCGTCTAGTCTCATCCCTATTAAGGGCCTCTTAGTCTCTACTGTCTTTTCCATTTTCCTGGGATTACTTCCCTCTGTCCCAGGGCGTCCCAGAGCTTGTCTCAGCTGTGCAGAATCATAGGCTTGGGGCATTGGGTATTTGGCACACCCCTCCTCCTGCTTCTGAGGGAAAAGTCCAACACCTAGAGCTTTTGGGTCTTGCTGCCTTTGTGCTGGTGTTCCTCCCTCGGTGAGAGCATCTGTCTCATCCATTCTTCTGGGTGTTACCTTTTTATCCTTTGTTGGGGAAGCACTACTTGTCTGGGTTTCAGGTCAGCGTCTGTACAGTTTAGTCCATATTTAGGTATAGATTTGTTGTGAGCATAGAGGAGGTAGCACAAGTTCTTCCTATTCTGCCATCTTAGGCTCCCAGATATACTGCTTTTAAATTAATAATTAATTAGGGTATATACAATATATTACATCAAATTTAATATTGTTCTGCAACCATCCCAGGCCAGGTAGGCTCATCGTCAGTTCAGGCAGCTTAAAAGAGAAACTGGGAGCCCTTGGCATCATCCCCACAGGTCTTTTAATATACACAGGAGAAACAAGTCAGCAGGGAGACAGAACGTGGGCCCCTCTGTGAATCCCTACATGATTTTTCCTCTGGGCTTTCTCTGGCATTCTCTCATAGTCACTTGTCGCTGTTCTGCTCCTCCTTCTCTGTGATGCCACCCTGATAGCCTCAGCCTCCAGGCTCAGGTGTGCCCACTTACACATGCCCACACCATACTGCAGGTGTCCACCATCAGGCATGTGTGCCCTGAGCCCACGCTCCCAAGCATCTCCTGAATTAACATAATAGGGGCCTCAGGTGATAGCCACAGCAGCCAGGGGTGTAAAAGGCTGACCATTTCACTTCCCCTACAAATATATTATTGCATATTAATATTAACTTGGATGATAATTGTAATGGATACTAGTTTTCCTTAAATGGAGCAACAGTAAAAATGTTATCTATAATCTCTATGCTTTGTAGACCACAGAAGAAGGCAACCCAGGGCCTTCCTGGTGGAACAAGGGGTTGAGACGCAACCTATGAAGCTGTCCACAGCCACTGCAGCGTGAGCTTGATCTCCAGCCAGGTTGTTGCCCGCATGGCACCACAGACCTCTCCTGGCTCACCTGCTGCTCCCCTCAGCTGTGTATTTCGGTAGATCTGCCTCTTCTGCTCCCCACTCTCTCTCTGGTGAATCCTCTCACCCCCTATACCTCTGGCCTGTACCCCAGTTCTTGTGTGCATAAATATTTTTTAAAAAGGCAACCCAAATAATGCAAAAACAATAATTTGAGGGATATATACATTCTTACATTCACTGTAGCACTATTTACAAATATTTTGATACTTACATTTACTTATGCTTTATTCAGCATATGAAATTTCATAACCTTATGATTCTTAAGGACCAGTCTCTTTTCATTACCAAAATATTAACATTTAAATGCTTCATACCAAAGAAAATGAGAATGAGAGATTCAACCTTGGGTCATGTAAGTGTGAAGAGAAAATTATAACCATGTAGGGCATTGTCATGGTCCAAGGGAAATGAATGGCTGGTCTGGCTAACTTATCATGTCACGCCACTAAAATTGCCATCAGTGTCATAAACTGGTATCTATTGGTTAAGTGTTGAGAGGTCTGGAAAGTTTAATATTCTCCTGCCAAAAATATCTAGTAGTATGTTTCATTGATAAGTGTAGCAAAAGCTCACCCTGCTTCCCATTGTTCACATTTCCAAGTTTTATTCTTACCTGAGTGTTATATTTTGCATTCCTTTAGCCCTGTTTAATCCCAAACCAGCTATTCCTGTAGCTGCTCCTCACATGCCATTCCTCAAATGGGGAGCACAGAGGACACACACCCTCCCAGCCCGCTCTCACACCTCTGAAGGATGAGCAGGATGCCGGTGGAGATTACTCAATGTGGGAAGAGCTCTTAATAAAGTGGCTCCGGTCCTGCCAGTAGGTTTAGTGAAGTGCTTAATTGAGACCAGAAGAGATGAAGCTGACACCGTAACTAAGCCATGATGTGTTCATCATCTAACACCTGGGTCTCAGATCTAGTTTTCAAACTGTGTCTAGTGCCCTATAAAAATATCACCAAGTTTCTTAAAAAAGTGGCAAAGGGGTGTCTATTAGGCCTCCGCAGGTTGTTCAGACCTTCACCGTAACCTTGCCTTCTCATCTTTGAAAGAGTAAATGTTCAAAAATTTTAAGAACTGTCTGCATTTTAAATAATGACTTATTCCGACTTTGAGAACAAATGTAACCTAGGTCTTAGTTCTTGAAATCTCAGAGATATCTTTTATCAAGAGAAAGATGACTTCATCTCTGCATTTGAACACTGTAGGGTAAGTGATTGTAGGGTAAGTAAAAGGTACCAGGCTTTTCTGCCCTCCCGCCATCAGAATAGATGAGAGAACCCTGTGATCCTGCATGCAAGCCTGATGGCGGGCACCTGAAGTGGGTACACCTGGGCTGAGAGACTGGACTTTTCAGGGCGGCGTCACGGGGATGCCAGCAGCAGCAGAAGCCAAGAAGCCGAAAACAAACAGAAGCTGAGAGAGAAGCAGAGAAGACTGGAAAGCCCAGATAGAGTGAAGACTTGCTAGGGCTGGGAGGCACCCTTGCCTTCTGTGTACCTGGTAATCCCAATAAAAGACCTGCAAAAAACCACTGAGGACTCTGACTCCTCCTTTACCTAGTCTGCTGGATCATAGAAAACCTACACTGTGTCATTCCCGACCCTACAGTGATTATCAGGCTTTTCTGCCCTCCTGCCATTAGGATTAATGATGGATCCCAGTGGTCTCTATCACTGGTGAATCCTCTCACCCCCCCACACCTCTGACCTGTACCCCAGTTTTTGTATGCATAAATATTTGTTTTAAAAAAAGAATTAACTTAGGGACTTTCGTTTCTGAGATTGAACCAAAATGCATGTGAATAGATGACCACTAAGTGATTTACTTAGAAATAGTTCTAAAGTCACCCTCCTGAGATCCCGAAAATACTTCAGTCTCAAATTTTAGTCAAAATAATTAAATATTACACTTCAAAGATAAGGAAAATGGAGTTCTTATGGCGGTATTTTAACTCATTACTATGACTATGATGTAGGGTAAGTGAAAAATTATCAGGCTGTTCCACCTTCCCGCCATTAGCATTAATGATGGATCCCAGTGGTCCTGAATGAATGCCTGATGGCGGGCACCTGGAATAGGGTGTGGGCACACATGGGTGGGTACATCTGGGCTGAGACTGGCTTATAAGCATGGCATCATGTTGACAACAGGAGAAAAAGAGTAGAATGAGAAGAGAGCAGACCCAGCGGAGAAGCCGAGACCACAAGAGAAAGCCAGGGAGCCCAGAAAGAGTGACGATTCGCTGGGGGCTGGGAGCCTTGCCAGCTTCCTGTCTCAACCCCTACCCCCGTGGCACCCCTGCCTCCTGTGTACCTGGAAAAGTCAATAAAAGCCTGAAAAGCCACGAAGGGCTCCAGGACTCCTCCTTCATTCTTCTGTATAGGTTCCGTAAAGAACCTGCTCTATGCCTTCCTGCCACTACAAATACGTATCATACATGTATTACTCTTTTTATGAAGAAAATAGGGATCAATTTGTTACAGGGCAGGGAGAGGGGCACCCCAGATCCCGCAAACCTGCCTACTCTAAATGGGTTCTGCCATCCGCCACATCAACACAAAACATATGAGACTTTAATGGGAAGGAAGTTTAATATAATTAGGAAACATACAGGAGAGGCAAAGAATATAGTTTCTAAATCAAGCACCCAAAGTTTCCCATCCCCTCATGGGTAAAAGTCCACCCAAGCAAGATTGGCCCAGAGCAAGGCCCCAAAGCCTGCCCCAAGTCAAAAGCATTTTCCAGTGGGGACCCACAGAAAAGGAGCAGAAACAACCAGACGAGTCTGGAAGGAAAAGAGCAAAATCAAAATCAAGACAAAAACTGCCATTGTCACCTCCCCACTGGTCTCCCACCCACATCTGTGTCACCCAGTCCACGACCAAAAGGCAAGCACAGTTTCTTCACGTGTCTCTCTGCTCCATGTGCCTCCTCTGGGTCTCCTTCTGGCTCCATCCTGCTTCCTTCCTTCCTCAGTTTCCTCTGCGGCTTCTTCCCTCCCTCTCAGCCCCACCCTCCCTTGGGTGGGGCAGGAAATCTGGAAACTCCCCCTTTCCTGGGGACCACCCTGTTATAAATTCTTCAATTAAACATGAAACCATTTTACTTTGATTCTAGAAGGAGATTCTCATTAGAATACAGTCTTTGTGTGTGCAGAGAAATCAGAAATTATTTGTCCAGTATACCATCTTTCATGTTGTATTTTAACCAATTCTTACTAGAGAAATACTAAAAGAACAAAGGTGGCCAAAAAGCTAATGAACCAACACCATTGTTTTGTTTTATTGTTAATGCATAATTGAATCAAGGAAGCAGACTCATGACAAAAATAGGTTCATTCCACAAATGCATGGATGCTTTGAATTAGAAAGTCTAGGACTATAATTGAGCACATTAACAGATTAAAGAAGAAAGACCATATGGTCCTCTTAAGAGATGAGGAAAAAACGTTTTGAAAATTCAACACCTGATTATAATAACATTTTAAGTAAACTTGAAACAAAGTTAATGACAGGGGTTTAATCACAAAAACCTGACTAAATATCTAGCTGTATGGTGTCTGCCAAATAAAGAAACTAAAGTGCAAAAAAACAAAGAAATTTGACTAAATAAGTTAGTAGTGATTAAATCATTGGGTAGATATCTGGAAGAAATTATACACTGAGCTTTTTGGTAACTATAGGGTAAGGAAAAATGTCACACTTTTCTGTCCTCCCGCCATCAGGATAGATGATGGATCCTTGCGGTCCTGAATGCATGCCTGATGGCGGGCACCTGGAATAGGGTGTAGACATAGGTAGATGGGATTCACCTGGGCTGAGACTGGGCTTTTAAGGGCGGCGTCACGGGGACGCCAGCAGAAGCCGAGGAGAAGCCAAGAACAAACAGAACCAAGAGAGAAGGCCAGAGAGCCCAGAGTGAAGACCTGCTGGGGGTTGGGAGGCCTGCCAGCTTACCGGCCCCCCAGCACCCCTGCCTGCTGTGTACCTGGTAATCCCAATAAAAACCTGCAAAACCACTGAGGACTCTGACTCCTCCTTCACCCGGTCTGCATGGGATCAGAAAACCTGCACTGTGGTCCTTCCCGCCAGCTACAGTAACTCTGTAAGTAGTTCACATAAAGCAATTTTAACTTGGAGTTTTTTGACTTGGTTCTTATGATTCAATTTAAGAAAAAGGTAAAACTTTTTTAATATTTTTACATTACCTTACACATTAATTCAATTATTAAATACAATCATATAGTGCCGTTTCAATTCTCTGAGAGACTGCACAGCCAAGAGTTATACTGTCCGCTGTAAATTCGTTTTCAACCTACAGTCTTCGATTTGCTGTGAATGGATGGGAGGCCAAAAAGGAAAGAAAGGAACGCGGTTGGGGAGAGGAGTCCATGTGAGACATCTCTAAAAACTTAGTGGGGAGAGCCACGCTGACTAACTTTTATCACTGTGTACGCTTTATTTCGATAGCAACAACAAAGCATACAGCTTAACCTTTATTTTTGCCTCCCAAACAATAAATTCCACATAAAGGCCACATCAAAAATTTCTGAAATGCAGTGGAGAGGGAGGTGAGAATGAGGGAGGTAATGTGAGGGAGGCGTTGGCACTGGGGCTGTGGTGGTGAGTGAGGGAAACATGTGCACATGTTGAGGTATGAAGATACACTCCCCAGATTATAAAACTGTGTAAATGAATGGCAAATTTAAAAAAATGAATAAAAATATCAGAAATGTAATCCTCTATAAGAAGGTGGGGGGGGGAGAAAATCACCCATACCTGTTTATATTTACAGGATGGTTAATGTAATTGGTCCAAGTTATATTGTATGGTTGATTTAATGCGGAAGCTGAAGGACATTTATTCCAATTTTGTCATTTAGGAAAATCTTCATGCTGCCATATTATATGATTATTGATGGAGGACAAAAATAGAAAAAAAAACTGAAAAAGGAAGCCCACAAAACCAGAAACCTGGCTCACACCAAGAGGTAGGGGCAGAAGAGATTAGCATAACCATCCACACAGTTGTGGAAACTAGTATCCTGAGGATGGACAACAATAGTATCCTGAGGCAGATGCCTAGATTATAAAGCTTAACATCCAAGCAGGGATCACACTGCTGTAGGGAGTGTCTAGAGCAGAGGCCCAAGGGTAAAGATATGGAGATTGAGCCCATTGTGGAATATCCAGTCCCTTTCAGATTCTGCATAGTTATCCAAAATTAGCAACCAACTGATGGCTCACAAGGAGTGAACCCCTCCCAAACAGAAGACTATATATTAGTTCAGTGTCTGCACAGGCTAAGGGCAGCACTCCTACTGCCCACCTGTGACTATACTATGCAGGTGCCTCTTTTCACCAACTCTCTCCCTCTGCAGGGCAGCAGCTTTCTGGCTGCCTGTGACCTGCACCTGCTGGGACTGCTCTTCACTGACCTCCCTCAGTGGAGGCCGCTCTCCTCAAGTCCGCCTGCCTGCAAACATGCAGGCCTCACTCAGCAAACCTGTCCCTTTCCCTAATAAAGCTGCTCTTTAAATATAACTACCGTCTCTGTCTTGTGGAGAAACTTGCCTGGGAAACTTGCCTGGTGCCGTTGAAACGGAAGCTCTGGTGAAACCTTTCCCAGAGTGAACTCAAGAACCCCGCACTCCAAAAATGACAATTATGATGACAATGAGTGGCAATGTCCTAATCTTTGAAAATTACACATTAATAATCTTTGCCTTTAATAAACCTACAAGTGATTCAAGACTACAATTGTAATGAACCACTATATTTTTTTTCCCCAACAAAAATTTAAATACAGATAGAATCAGCTCTGAGTAATCCAAACAAATTAGAGTCATGGCATAGTCAAAAGACATGAGAAATAAAAATAATTTGCATTAAACTCTGATGTACAGTACATGTTTGTTTTTAAGGTTGGAGTACTCTCTATTGTTTGCTTAAATCAGCATTTCTTAAACAGTGTTCTGCAGAATCCTACTTTGTAAAAGCTGTTAATAGATCTTCTAAGAAGAAAGAAAAATTCTGTGCTTAAAGAAGTTTAGAGACTGCATGTCCAGATCCTTAGGAGATTTGTAATGTGTTGCTATACATTAAAGGATCTAAGAAGTCCCACAGGAAAAATAAAGCTGGACAATCTTCACACAAAATATTATTCAAGAATGATACTGAAAGGTCCATGCAGGGAGCTGGAATGCAAAAACCCACCTAGAAAAAAATCAGACAAGGGCGTCCCCAGTGGCACAGTGGGTTGAGGGTATCTCTGTGAAGCTGTCCGCAGCTTCTGCAGCTCGGGTTCGATTCCCGGCTGGCCAGAGAGATTCCCACATGGGGTGGCAGACCTCTCCTGTCTCACCCGCTGCCCCCCTCAGCATTGCGTTTGGTCCATCTGCCTGTTCTGCACCCCACTCTGCCTGTGGTGAATCCTCTCACCCTCCCATGCCTCTAGACCGTAACCCAGCTCTTGCATAAATAAAATAAATCTTAAAAAAAAGGAAAAATCAGACAATAAACCTC